GACATGCGTAACACATGTCCCAACCAACGTAATCTATGGAGGTCGACCACTTGCTCCAGTGGGCGACTGCATTTACCTAAAACTCTTTGCCTAATCTCAACATTGCTCGTCCGGCTGCCCCACCAGATTCGTGCAATGTTGCGTAGACAGCGGTGTTCGAACACCGACAGTCTATCTTCATCCTGTTTTCTTAATGGCCAAGTTTCTGCGCCGTATAGCAGAACTGGCCGAACTGCTGCGGCATACACTCGACTCTTAACAGACAACCGGATGTCGCGACGGCGCCACAGATGTCTGAAGTTGGCAAATGCCAACCGAGCCTTCTGTATGCGAGCTGACACTTCATCCGTGATGCTTGCACCAGGTGCGATGTCGTCGTGATAACCTTATTACCTCACTTAGTCTGATTTTCCTGGCGCCCGTATGCCTAATCAGACGGAAAAGATCGCGATTATTGCTGATAGCCGCAGCCTTCTCCATCTTTCCCACTTGCCTATCCACCACTTCTCGCGATCATTCTTCAGACTCTTGATGAGCTGGCGTTTGACGGATTTGCGCGCGGTGTCATATGTGGCCTCCGAAAGGAGGGTTATGTGGCCGTCCAACAGGACAACCAAGGTCGACGAGATCCGTCGTTTGTGTTTTGAGCTTGCGGCAGGGTCCGACTTTGTTTTTATCGGTATTTGCATGGTTCCCTTGACTTGCTCCCAGTGTTCATAATCCTTCGGCTGGTGATTGAGCTGTCCTTGCGTGACAGGTTTTTAGAAGATCCCACATTGGTGCTCCGTTTACGCTCCCGTGTTGGATTTACGCACTACTGCCTTGTGGGTCAAACTTTTGGGTCGAAGGCTCCCGTNGCCTTGCGTGACAGGTCTCCAGAAGCTCCCACACGGGTGCTTCGTTCACATTCACGCATTAAATTTACGCCCCACTACCTTTTGAGTCAGATTCTTGAGTCGAAGGCTCCCGTTAGGGTTCCCAAAGAAAAACCCCTTCGTCGGGGTGGGCTGCCGCGAAGTATGCCGTGCCCTAAACTCTTAGGTACCCATTTGGAAAGCCATCTTTCACATCTGTCTAGTTCTTCTCAATCCCAAATAGCCCCAGGTGCCTCCTGTTTATGAGACCCATCGGATATCACTTAGCGTTCAACTAATAAGGTCAAGCACTCAGGCTACCAGATTCTTGAAACCAAAATCCCCTTTTCACTCAGCTGCACTCAGTGTCCACACACTCAACCATATCGATCAACAAGCTACTTTAGCTAGAACCCTTGAAGCCTTCCTTTTAGATGTATGCTGTCTTCGAAACACGCATACGAGACCCTACTTCAACCACCTCCCTCCGTCNCCGCTGGTTAGGACACGTATTGCGCATGTCCAGCCATCGTCCGCCGCACCGCGTCTTATTCGCTGTTGTGGCTCCAGGTTGGAAGAAACCGCGTGGTGGTCAACAGATGACGTGGAAACGAGGCATGAAGAAATGCACAGAGCGATTAGGTAGAATCGGTGTCTCCCGTCTTCCACGTTGGGGTCCGAAAGACTCTGCAACTGGTTGGCTGGAGACATTAAAGGACATGGCGACAAACCGACAGCAGTGGCGTTCTTGTCATTTCTTAACAAGTCAGAATACTTGAAAAGGTATGCATGAACACTTAGATTGTGTATTCTGTTTGTTGAACATAGATGTTCGTTTTCTTTGCCTTCCTCCAATTAGGCCCAATCCCTCTCCATCTTGTGCTTTATCACTTGATTTGTGTACATTGTGAGGTTGACAGTGATCAGTAAAGCTCGCTTCACTGTATCTCGCTGTACAGTGATGATGATGACTCGGCGATTCGGCATCTGAAGCTCGTGATGTTGCTGGTGTTGGGATTGCGCCAAATGTCAAGGCCGAGCGCTCATTTCTCGACTGGTTCCCGGTTAGCAGCCGAATTCGCGCTGTACGTCTGGATAGGTCAGTACAGATGAACAGCTACAGAGCGAAGCATCGATGTTTGTCCGTCGTATCTGCACCAACTGATTGCAGTATGCCCAAAGTGAAGGATGAATTCTACAAGGACCCCCTCAACTGCTCCAAAGTGCTCGGTCAACATGGTGATAATCGCTGGAGACTTCAATGCTCAAGTGGGATCCCTGGACGAATCTGAAAGGCTAATTGTTGGTTCACATGCAATCCCAGTTAACCGGACTGACATTGGAGAACGCCTAATCTAACTTCGCGCTGACCACTGACTGTTGCTGTCAAGCACCAACTTCTCGCACAAGAAACAGCATCGCTTTGCATGAGACCGCCAACCGCTTCATAACGCTGGACTCCAATCGACCACATCGCCATCAGCCACCGCTGGTGTGGATCTGTTGAGGACTGCTGCTCCTACTGGTCAACACAGACCATGCT